TTCCTCACGAATGTATGTTAACATAGTTAACATTAAAGAAAAACTACGCAAAGAAGAAACAAATTACTCCCCAGTAATACTACAACTAGAACGCTGCAGCAATACGATATAAATGAGCAATAAAACTATATAAAAAACAAAGTTAAAGATACGAAAAAGATGCAGTAAGAGTGCAAATAGTCAGAGCTGCTGCAACCGGTTGCTGACCCCCAGTGCCATCTTACTATGATAATATACATTAATTTAAGAATTTACATTGCATTAAACGTGCGCTAGGTTGCATTTAACATCATGACTATGATGTGCAAACATCAGCTGTTTATCACTAGTTTTCAAACGCAACCTCCCTGTCATACATTCTCGTGTCAGCACGGTGGACGCAGAGCCTCCAAGCATTCATATGAGACAGCGCTGAGCAGGTTTTTTTCATGCAGCAAAGCGAGATGGTCATTGGATAAATGTGACAAAATCATCACTTCCAGGGAGGCTCAGCTTCCCTGGGACCTGATGGAGCGGTAGGTGGGAGATGTCGCTTGGTGTATGCATAATGATTGGAGGAATTGTCTAAAAGGCTGAACCCCTTTGTGATTGACAGCGCTTTTGAAATACACACCGGCATCGTCGCATTTCGAGCTCAGTCCCATGCGGATATTTGCGAGTGTCTTCTGACTCCACTCGCAAAGTGCTGACTGCTGTCTGGAGTTCCTTATTTCCATTTTCACCACAGTTTAGGCGTTTAAACACATCTGAAAATCTTTGAGGTGTGTTTTGCTGTGGTTCTATGGCATGGGTGTGGTTGAAAAACGGCTTCAATTGAATGTTCCTTTTATAAGTTACTGCCTCGCCACAATATGACAAATTTTATGATGTAAACTTAAAGTGAGCTTCCCCTGTTTGAAAGACCAGCAGATGCCACTGGTGCGGAAGTGCCAAAAACTGCAGTTAATCTACTGGCCACTAGGGGCTGGTTGCAAAACAGAGCAAATCCCCATAGACTCCCATGTGTGCCCAAGTTTACAGCTAAAGAAAACGGCAAAAAAAAAGGTTTTGGTCTCTATGGCTCTATTTTATACAAATATCAGACAAATAATAAGGCTTGCTGTGCAGGAAATTGTACCAACTGACCTTTCAGGACACCAGTACTCCAGTTTTTTTGGTAAGTGACATTCTATCATCATTTTATTTATATGTAAGCGCTAATTAGCATGTATTTTTGTTTTTCTGGCTTGTTAGCTTAGCTCATTATCTCGCTAGCTCTAGCTGCTAACCCGCATGCACCGAAGTCAAAACGTAAAACAGAAGTGTTAGAATTTAGGGTGATAATTCTTTTGAACAAAGGGCATCTGTGTGAGGTTGGAAAATGAAGCTCCACCACATTACAATATCTCACAATACAATGTAACATTACTGCTAGACTTGGATAGGTAGCAGTTATGTTACATTAAAATGTTGTGCAATTACAATAAGGTATATGTGTGTAATTTAAATATATTAATGCCATGTTTCAGCATGGTTCAAGAAACAACGTTATTCTAACTAGATGTTGCGTCTTTGGTTAAGCTGGAGTTAGTTATTGAAGTTAACATGAGATTCGATGGTCCACAAACCAAAACTTTGTTATTTTGTTAATATCATGAGTAAAATACGCAACTGATTTTGGTCGGCTGGAATGTCAGCGAGGGAGGTAACCTAACACATACATTCCTTTCTACATCCTTTATTTGTCTGTGTAAAGTTTTCCACTAGGTGATGCAGATAGGCTGGACCAGTGGATGTTCAGCGTAAGAAGACAGAACTGGACTCCTAACAAGGCTTTACATCTGTGCAGTAAACACTTTTAGACTCATCACTTCAGCACTGACCTCAGGATACAGAGACCTTTTTTATATCTAATAATGAATCAAGCAACCTATTGGTTTAAATTAATGAAGTATTGATCATTATTGTGGACAATACAATGTATAGAAAGCTATTTTTTTATCCAGGAGTTTTGGTCACCTAATACTGTAAGTCCATACAAGGTAGTTAGTCTTCAACTGAACCAGCTATTCGTGCACCTGTCCTGTCAAGCTGGTATATGTACGTATATGATCAATTGTGATCCACTATGTCTTTACAAGTGTTTGTCTTTTACTGTAATTCAAAAGGTATCCACACTGTGAAACCGGAATGATCACTGCTAACAGAGGGAAGACCTCATGTATGGAGCGGTGTATTTGGTGCCATTCATCTAGACTGTAGAGAAGGGAGACAACAGGACAACATCCTGAGTTCTGAAATGGGTTGTGATTATGATGCCAGAAAACCACTTCCAAATCTTCCTCTAATAAAAGGACAGACCAAGTTTTACATTTTTTTTGTCATTCTCTGTCCTTAGTATTCAGAGATTCAGTTTCAGTTTCTCTCAATTATTTAGATAGCTGATGGAACATTAAAAATGCTAATTCTTAAAACATGAAATGGGAATCAAGTGATGGATCAACCATAGCACATTCACCACCTTCACAGCTGAAGGTATTTCCTAATTTGACATCCAAAGGATCTTCATTTGGAAACAGCTGGAAATGGCCAAACCAGAAGTGCACCCAGGAGCAAAATGTGACTCCTGTGATACATGTGTATGGAGTATGCATTAGGCATACAAACACTGTTGTATGTAATGAAGATTTGACAATTAGATTTTAATTTCAAAGCAGTTGGGTTTAGTAATTCATATTGCATGTCCTTGCATGTTTTTTCATTTGATTGAGACCTGGTACAGCTTATGTACATTGATTTTATTCATAACTACATTAATAACTAAAAAAAAAAATGTTTAATGCTTTTGTAATTTGTGATGATAGTTTTCTATTGCTGTGATTAAAAAGTACTGAGTGCATTTTTCAATAACTGCAGAATGCTTGTCTGGTTTATTTCAGATTTACCGTACGCCTTGTAATGAATCTTATAGGACACTTTGGCGAATTAGTGTTTTTCAGTGTCATAAAAAATGTCAGGAAAAATACACCAAACTGTAATATCTGTTGTTTTATCCTTCATTGTCAGATGTTCAAGGATGGCAACATTTATTCTAACATTTATGTTCTTGATTAAAGCTAACTAGATAGAAATAGCTCTTGGTTTACTTTGGTCACTATGTAAGAGACAATAAGGCAACCTGACAGTGTTTGACTGTAAATTTGTCACAGTAACAACCTCTCTTTAAGTAAGTAATGTTCTTGGAACAGCGCACTGATAAAAACAGTAATAATTGAAAACAATAAACTATTACATCTACGTCAGACATGGGGCAGAGTGTCAAAGACCATGGAGTGGTAAGACTGGTGAGAGAATAAGACAAAAGTAAACAGGAGAGGGTGTAGGGCACAAGGAAGAGCAGAGCTGGTAATACTGAACAGTGTTATGGCCAAAAGTGTTAAATTAAAAATATACAATAAACTGCATCGTTCACAAATAGCCCAGGAGTGTCAAGCCTTGTGTGAGGGTGATGTACAAAGCTGCTACTTAAACATTGAACATATGTAGCCAAAACGCTGTTCACAAACCTGCGGACCTTGGACTGGCAGCAGCCTTCTACCTGCGTCTCTGGGGGGTGCCAGAGAAGATGATCTTCATATTAGGATGCTGCAGGTGGAGTTGGTGCAGGTCCTCCTCTTTTGCAGTGATGAGGTTGACACTTGGGATATCTCCCACGTCATTCCCACCACAGTGGATGAGGAGGACACCCAGAACTGCTCTGGCTCGCAGGGACTGGATGAAGAAGGGGAGAGGGCTCTCCACCTCAGACCACCTCAGCTGAATCAGTGGATGTAGAAAGGTTGTTCCATCGTCTCTGTAGCTCTCTCAGCCCCACACCAGATGTAGCTGTCTCCAGTGACAGCGGCTGGATGGAAAAAAAAAACCATTGTAATATTGAGGAATGTGTTATATTGTAGGCTACTGAGGGGAAAAAAAAGAAACTATTCCTTCAGTTTAGATGTAAAAAATAAAATTAAAAAAAACATCTACTGGATTGTTTTACACTAAACAGCGATAGAAAAGTAACTATTACTCACTTCTGTGGCTTTGTGGTGTGGGTGCACATGAAATGATGCAGCGCTCAGTATTGTAACCTTTGCTGAAAGAGACACAAAGATTCATTCCAACAGATGTTTTGATGATTGTCATCAACAATGAAATGAACAGCACCTGCATGCAAAAAAATAGCCTACAAACACCGAGCTCAACCAGTAAACATTAATATTAACACACACTCACTAAACGTTGAACTGTAAGTTCTGTTCAGCTGGAAGAATACTACACTACTACATTAATCAGTTTTTTGTGGTGTAATGTTAACTGATTTAAAGAAGCTAAATTTTATCTGCTGGCTTTTGAGCCATCAGCACACCAAGACACCTAACATGTTTACTACTGTATTGCAGTTATCCACACCACACACTTTAACATTAACTTACATACGGTAATGTTAACTTCAGTTAACACTACAATAACGTTACAAGGTTAACACTACTCCTCTTATATGTAATGTTTGCCGAATGTGGCCATGTATGCAATTAGCTAAAGTCACAAAGATTATTATGGAAGCTAAATTTGTTAGCAGCGATTTAGCATGGCAAGCCAGGTGCAGCGTTCAGTCAGGTTGCCAGTGTAGGTGGGTCTGTGTAATGTCCTCTGGTTCCCCCTCATTCCTCCACAGCTCCACCCTCTCGCCCAAACATTTGAATGTCAGGTTGTAAATCCAAGATGGCGACGACCAAAATACCAAACTCTAAGCTTCATAACAGCAGTCCACAAAGCAATGGGCGACATCACGGTGGCTAGTCCATTATTTTTACAATCCATAGGCAGTCCACAAAGCAATGGGTGCCATCATGGTGGCTATGTGGCCACAGTGGCCACTGTTAAACAAAAGTTACATATGCACATTGTAAAAAGCAGTTAGGATGGGTGTTTTGTAAAGTTAAACCTAACTGTTGTAAATCCATTTTGTTTCCCAGGTGCGTGGAATCAAAGGAGTCTTCCTGGCCAATCAGAAGGTAGATGGCAAAATGACAACTCTCATTACCTATAACAAAGGACAACACTGGGAACCCTTGATGCCACCCACCACAGACATGAATGGCAAGCCAATAAGCTGCAAGGCAGTAAGTGCTGATACCATAAAAAGTCCCTTTTCCTTTTTTCTCTATTTACTCTACCTGAGTTGAAATATTCAGTGTTTGGCCTCAATAGAACTCCAGGGTGATACATTACTGCCTTTAGTTTGCAGCTTTAAGTAAATGTGTCGCTCTTGTGTGTCAGGGCTTGAAATTAGCATCTACCAAATTCGGGTAGAATTTGACAGTGGCGTATGACACAGTCACTCCTACTGGCCACTTAAGCAAATAGCATATTTTGAGCTGTAATGGTTTTTGTAATTGTGCCGAACTGTTACAGTACAGGAATCATGATCTGGTGCCTGCAGCCACATGCAGAATACACGCTATGTAGAATGATGCACATAGAACCAAACCAAACTTTTAGCTGTTCGTGGTTAGCAATGTGCACTGATGTTAGCACAGCATGAAGATTGGATGCTTGAGCTGGAAGACCTGCCTGTGGGCTCCCTGTCAGTTGCAACAGTAACAGAGAGAGAATTGTGAGGATGGTAGGGTTGGGTACCATTCATATTGGAAGCGATAACGGTACGGGTTCCAGTACCTGTAAAATGGTATCACTACCCAATGGTACCTTTTTACGGTACTTTACTTTCTCTGAAACAACAAAAATGTAGGTTTATAACAAGCTGCAGGGGTGATGTAGTAGGCTAAAAGTCAGTTCTGCTCCTCTGTTCTTTTGTAATCATACATAATCTTCTGTCTCTGTCTGTGTGTCTGTCTGTCTGTCTGCTAGTGTGTGCATGTGTGTGTTAATGTGTGGCTGCTCGTCAAGCAGTGGTACTAAGCTATTACTAAAATATTTAGGAAAGAAAATAGACCAGACACTGAAGCTATCCTGGCTGATTGGCACTGCAGTGATATTTTCACTCACTTGGAAGCAGACTTCTATTTATATTGTATTTTCAGTTTCATAGTATCAGGGATGCGTTTCAGTTTTACAGTCTATTGTGACCTGTTGTTGTCTTTTGGGAAATGCTCAGTGTTCATGCAGTGTAATACACAAATGTTTGAAACATTCCTTATTTTAACATTGGAAATAGTTCACCAATTTTGCCAGTGGGCAAAATGTAAGTCCCCAGCTGTGTCTGCCTTTGACAACTGCTGTCTTTTCAAAATAACTTAAAACAAACAGTTCCTTGTGCATTTTTTTCTCATCCACCTGAGTGTGAAAAAAGTCACGAATTGTACTGGCTAATTAAAGCTGACCAGCTACTCAGCTGACAGCCAATAAGAATTGTGTACTTTGTCCTCCCATATGTTAGGAAAATAAGGGGCGTGCCTCAAACATGATTTATTTAATTATTATCCCCCTACCCAAATGAAATTACAGAATTTTTTTTTAAAAAGGTGGAGGATGCCTCCTCCCCCAGGAGGAGCTGGAAAGCTGCTGCCCCCGCGACCCGGCCCCGGATAAGCGGATGAAAATGGATGGATGAATGGACTTTTCAGAGCAATGTGTTCATTATCTCTGATGTAATGAAGAAAACTGCCATTGCCGAATAATTGAAGGGCAATACATAAAATTTGCTCCGATGATAATGTAAATCCATAATGTGTTATATTTGTTATATCTGTGTGGAACAGATTGCTAAGATAAAGACTGTGAGGTGAAATTGTGTGAGAAATCCAAACGGGGTCTAATCACCATCTCCTGACGCAGCAGCCTCTGAATAAACTGTGCATCAACGTCCACGACTTTATTCACAAAAGGACATGCCACGTCTCTCCTTCCTGCAACACGCTCAGCGGGTGATCAGCCTCAGGCTTAGATGAAGCAAACCTGCGAGCCAGCAGCTTCACGGAGTACGTTGTCATAGTAACTGACTGAGGGTTACGCTGAACTGGCTTTATGAAATGGAAAACTCAAGAGTTTCCCTCATCTCAGGCTTAACATACTCAGAGTTTTTACTAATCCTGCTTTCTGAATAGGGCCCAGATCCCATTCTGATGTATCATTTGTGGGATGTTCTGATACTCCAGAGGTACCTCTGATCCACAGTGGGGCCTCCGTGGATTAGACTTGGCTCTGACCTGTTGTAGCATGGTCACACGTCCTCTGTGTGGGGTAGGTCCCACCAATGCTAGATCAGATTGGTATCTAGGGAATTTGGAGGCCAGGTAGCCTTGACCTCTTTGTAAACTGTAAATTTCATCCAGTATTTTCATGGCACATGATATGGGGTACATTATGACATTGTAAAGCCAACTTGACTAAATAGTGTCAATTAACAGTACTAACCTACATTAGTTCTTCAAAACTAATGTAACTCATAAATGTTCATCAGAGCACAGGCTGAGATGGTCACAGAGCTTGCCAAGCATGCACTGCCACATCCTGCAAAACCACACCCATCATGATAAATTGTCATAAAAAAATTATAAATAAAAACATAATTTGTATACTTCAGTGTTATTTGTGACAGAAAGCATCACGTTTCTTTGTAGAATGGCCTGTCTTTAGCTCTGTCTATTGAGGATAAATCAACAAGATTCATAACAGCTCATCCTCTTAATAATGTTTGCTGTCTCAGTTGAAATGAACTAGTTTCAATTAACGATCTTTCCACAAGTTAAATGTGAATGTAACACCCGTCCCATGTAGCTATATAATCTGCTAGGTGTAGTAGTACTCTGGGCGGGACCCGGGTACGGTTTAGAGTTGTACTGCAGGAAGTCAATACAGACTAGATCCAAGGGACCAGTACTTGTTATCTGATTCAACTGTGCAGCACGCTGAGGGAGTGTTTTTGAGACCTCAGATGCCAGGCGTGGCCAGTAGAATCTATCTTTAATCAGCTCAGTGGTTCTTTCCACTCCCATGTGTCCACACTCATCGTGCAGAGACCTCAACACCACAGTCCAGTATCTCTCAGGCAAGACAAGTTGTCGGATCTCCCTTCCACACAGTTTCTTTGTTACTCTGAAGAATATTCCATCCTTCAACTCCAGCTTATTTCCTTCACGGATGAGCAGTGCTGTATTTGGTGGGTCATTTTTGGCATGAGTCAGCACCTGGTGGCTTTCAAGTGCTCTTTTCACAGGTCCAATCTCTCGATCCAATTCTTGAGCTGTCTGTATGTCTTTTGGGCTCAGCTGATCAATGGTGTTCAGACCAAGGTTCACTGGGAATGCCAACACTTCAGGTACAGCCGTTTCTGGAGCTCCAAGTTGATCCACTAGCCTGATAAAATCCTGATAAAATCATGGTAAAATCCTGGTAAAATCGTAAGTGGCAAGGGCAGCCAGCCAGCGATGTCCTGTGGCATTAAGCTTAGCCAAAGTTAACACATACGTTAACGGGTTATTGTCAGTTCTTACGGTAAATTTAGTACCATACAGATAGTCGTGAAACTTGTCCACCACTGACCACTTTAGCGCCAGAAATTCCAACTGGTGGACAGGGTATTGCTGCTCAGATGCAGCAAATTTCCGACTTGCGAAAGCCACTGGCCTGAGCCCTTCAGGGTACTCTTAGTTGAGAACAGCGCCCTTGACATTCATGCTGGCATCTACATGCAAGATATAGGGTTTAGTGGGATCAGTGAATGCCAACACGGGGGCATGAATCAGGCACTCAATGAGGGTTCTGTAGTCAATACAGATTTGAATTGTCCCGTTCTTTCTGCGGACCACCACAATCAGTGATGCGTAGGGACTACGAGATTCTTTTAAAATTTCCGCATCTAGCAGCTGCTGTATGTAACAAACAAAGGAACAACAGCTAAATGATTAAAAATTTAATTTTAATTTTAACTTGCAGGGCCGGACTGAGCAGATTCAGCGCCCTGGGTAGGCTTCCGCTGTGGTTTCATATATTATAAGGAATAAAAAATAAAGAGAAATCAACTGAAAGAACAAACAAATATAGTTAATAAAGGAGCAACAGCTGGATGATGAAACATTTTTATGTTGAAATCAAATATAATTTGACCTCTCCCTGGATGGTCTGGGGTCATGCAGGCGTATGTGGTGCTCCACTCCCTTAGCCAAACCAACATCCCACTCATGCAAACAGAAGACATTTAGTCTCTGTGCTAAATTTTGGCGGAGCCAATTCTTCCACTCCTCCGAGATAGGGGAGTCGCCAAAGTCAAACAGATCTGGATCTATAGTATCTGCTGGGAGGTTGGATGGTTGGACTGGGGTGACTGTATCAACTGCATACATCTCTGCTATCACAGTCCCCACTGGTTTGGAGGTTTTCTTGTGAGACTCATTGTGAATGAGCACCATGAATAGATTCATGTCAACATCAGCATTCGGGAGCACACCTGGTTGTACGAGCACGCCGGCTGGGAGTGACTGTACAGTAGCTCCATCAATCATAACATCTTTTGATGTCGGAGTTGGCCCGTCCACTTTACAGGTGGCATAACATCTCTCACCTGGGGCTATGGAGAGTGGACCAGGTCCTTGCCATTTTACTTGTGCAACAACATCATCCACTGCTGCTGTTTAAGAGAGCTGAGCCTGTGCTTGGACTGGTGCATACACGGGCTGGATTCTCATTGAGTGAACGACTTTTCATCTCCATTCGCTTTCCACAGCTCCCACAGTCGTTGGAACAGGGAGGCATTGGTGCCAACGATAACAGGGGTCTGGTTGTGCTGATTCAGCTCAGGACAGATCAAAGCCAAGACAACTATGGGACCTTTTACACCTGTCATCTCTTCTGGGAACTCCATCTCCACAACAACGTAACCTTTGTAGGGGTAATCACTGTCTGACAAGCCCCAGAGGTCTAAGTGAGAGATGGGATGTATGAGGATATCTGGCAAGTGTTCATTGTACCAGCTCTCAAAGATTCAAAGATTCATTGTACCAGCTCACAAGACAGATCATTGACTTTGATAGTGCTTATCATTGATGGACCCACAAGACCCTCTGGCAGGCTGGTGTCCTCCTGTGGGACTTCCACTTTGTGGACCCTTGCAATACCTTGCTTGTCTGAAGTGTCTTTAGGGTTGTCTTTTGTTCCATCTTGT